GGGACGGCGAGGCGCCTGGCTCCCCAGCGTCCAGCGGACGGCCGCGCGAAGGCGGTACTTTTGTCCGGTCGGCGAGCGGAAGCTTCCTCCCGGCAGCGCTGGGGGGCGGGTGCCGGCGCCCGGCTAGACGCGCGGGTGCCTTATCGCTGCGCGGCCACGGCGACTGCGAGGGCTATCGCAGAAGCCCGCGTCAGTCATCGTTCAGAACCTGCAAAAATAGAAGCAGATAATGGATGACTAACACATTACAGCATTTGTCCTCAGCAAATCCCCGCGGAGCTTCTTTAATACATTCGTAGTTTCGGAAGCTTGAGCCCAAGCCTGGGGAAAATGCTGGTCAGTTGATCTCGCTCCCCTGCACCAGCCCCCAAGATTTCACAGCGCCCCCCAGTCCGTTTTGCTCTTTCTCCCTACCCCACGCCCACTCTCCTATTTCCCCCCTACTGCTTCCCCTCTTTCCCTTCTTATCCACCCCACTCTAGTTATTTCTTCTCCTTACTATATCATTCCCTTCTATCATCAAAATTTCACTTAATACTCTGCTGGATATAAACAAACTTATTCACACAGATGACAGATTAAGGGCGAGAGAAAAGGGGGGGGCTAAGAGAAGCAGAGACAAAGCACTTGGATGCAACAATAATCAGATAGAAACAGATTTGGAGAACAAAGGCATGTTTATGTATATGCACCACAGAGCTACAGATCTAAGGAGAAAGAATACCCCCTGCCAAGAAGGCTCACCACCTTTCAAAACCAACCAAAAGTCTACAGTTAACATGATATACTAACCAGGCAATCGCCTATTTAATAATTCTGCATCTAATATACAAAGTAATCATTACTTAAAACGCATGCCTCCCAAAACACCCGGAATAAAGTTTGGAAATTTACAATGCAAAGCATTTAGAAACAGCAGGGAGAATCTCAGCTGGCCCCCAAATGAATTTAAATACAAAGGGTATGATCAAGAGCTTAACATTAGTATGAAAGAGAGGCCTAGTGCAACATCTCAACATTTTATGAAGAGACTCAACCAGGCTAAATTTTAAAACATGCATGTTTTGACTTTACTTTTGTCCTGAACATACTTCAGACTATGTGTAAAGTTTCTAAATTGTAGTCAGGAGGCATTGTTTTCAAATCTACCCTTCCCAATATAAAAACACCTCCAAAGAAAAAGATTTCTTAAATAATTTTCATCACTGATTATAAACATAGTTTGGGAAACCTCAAATCCAATGGCCAGATAACAGTGAAAACCAACAATCAGTAAGATCATAAAAGAGTGCTCCACAATAATACATTAGCCTCTAAATTATCCTCTGGAAATTGCAAGATAGTGAAGCTTATCTAAAAAACAAATGATAAAACCCCAAAACTAAAACAAAAAAAGCATGAACTACAATTAAACCTGACGACTTCACTGAGGTCAAAGCTTTCTAGAAGATCACCAATATAAATAAAACATGATAGAATATACAACCAATCCAAAGATGCTTGGGGCTCAGCAGCACCCAAGGACCACAGCTAATTTACATAAGCAATGACATTTTTAAAAGACTGATGATATTTGTTTGAACTTTCAGCAACAAAAAACTTCAGCTTTGTCCCAGTCCCTGGGTAAAGGAAAGAACTCCTTATGGGGGAATAGAAACAATTGGCCTGAAGGCTATGCTATTGCCTTTGCTAGCAACAAAGTATAATCCTGTCTGATGACAACACTTAACATTCCCTGAAGTTCTTGTTTTTAAAATATATGTGGAGAAGGGATAATATTTTATTATTTCATGCAGAACAGGATTCAAGGACAGTCCTTCCAGTTGGCAGAGAGATTCGGTATTACACAAACACTTGAAAACAAATTTAGCACTAAAATTCTTTTATAGGAACAGATCCTAAGTACTAGCCTTTGAAAAAAAATTCCACTTATCTCCTTGATTGATTTTATTACCTTTGATGTACCTAAACCACCCACTAAAAGAAAAGGGAACTGAAGTTTTGGGTGGAAGCAAAGCTGATATTTAGACATGAACTAAACACAAGGTCTTATAGGAACGAAAGCCAATTACACTTCTTGGTACTTGATGCCTTGTAAACGAGAGACGGAATACAAATCATCAACTAAAAAAAATCATGTCTAACCATTTCATTTGTTATTTTGTAATTTCTGATAATTTTGGAATATATATTTTTTTAAATGTAGTATTCTGATTTAGGATTTTAAAAATTCAAATATATTTCTTTGAGATAATTTATTCCCTCATTAAAGCCCATACATAATTCCATATTCTGTACATAATATTGTAATATGTTGGGGTTTTAAAAAAACAAATAAAACTAAAAGAGAATACAGCCTATTACAGGAGATGAGGACTTGACTAAATTAATATAAGGTATGTTTACAAGGTAGTATAAAAAGAGTACTATAAAAAGGACTTGGAATTTTGAAGTAGGAAAGATCATTTCAACCTTCAAGAGGAGGGTAAGAAAGAACAGAAAGGCAGAGCAGTCTTCAGTGGGGGGGTGACTACTGAGGGGAGCTCGGAGGATGGTGGGTTTCCACTGTGGGAGATGGCCACGGGCATTCCAGGTGCAGAAAAGGGCAGGGGCACAGGAGCCGGGGGAGGGGGGGGCAGAGGATGGGTTTAAAAAATAAGTCAGGTAATATAGGTTCTGCCTCCTAGACTCCAGCTGCAGATCCAGATTTACTATTTCATTTGTAATACAAAGCAAATATTCTGTTTACACATCCATAAATTCTTGGTAAGAATAATTTATAGTTTATACCTGTACGGGTGGATATTAATTCCAGGAACAGTACTATTACATAGCGAAGTCCAGCCTGGTACAGATCATAAAACTAATTTGGCTTTTAGAAAGTGAGCAGTCCATTCCTTTCGATTTTCATTTGAAAAAAGAAAAGAAACCCCAAAAGAGCTGAAATTTGTAACTGGTCAAAGCATCAATTAAATATATTGATCATTCATAACCAGGATAGCATAGTGGCTGAGCTTGTACACAGAAGAACTACCTGGACTCCACCATTTACAAGCCTTGTGAAACTAAGCAAATGTCTAGCCTCTCTTTAACTCAGTCTCCTCATCTGCAAAATGAAAATAATTCTACTATCTATCTCATTCGGTTGTCACAAGGAATAAATAAATTCATATTCTTAGAAGAGTTCCAGACACATAATAAATGTATGTTATTACTGTTGTTATAACACATATTTATTGAATGCCTCAGGCCATCTTAATGCTGGGGATGGTAATAATTGAGACAGATAAAGTTCCTACTCTTAAAAAGATGATGTTCCAGTGGAGGGGAAACAAATGAAAATAACTACCAAATATAAATTTCATTTTATTTATTTTTTAGTTATTTTTAATTATTTTTATTTTTTTAAATATATCCTTATTGATTTCAGAGAGAGGATGAGGAGGGAGAGAGAGAGATAGAAACATCAGCAATGGGAGAGTCATTCATCGGCTGCCTCTTGCATGCCACCTACTGGGGATGGAGCCCTCAACCCGGGCATGTGCCCTGACCAGGAATCAAACCCTGATCTCGTGGATCATAGGTCAATGCTCAACCACTGAGCCATGCCAGGAGGGCAATTTTGTTTTATTTTAAGGAGATTTTACATGGTTTTCTACAATAACTTCCGATTAAACTGATTAAAGGATGCATATCCATTCACATAGCAATTTGGCTCCAGGGATTTATTCTGGGGCAAAAATTGAGTAGAATAAAAACATATTGATAAGGATATGCACTGATCCTGTTTATAACAACAAATAACTGGATGATTATAAGAGCAAAGAACTGGAATAAACTTAAATGCCCATCAATAAAAGATTGGTAAAAGAAATTACTTTTTGATACAAAACTTGAACACTATACATCGCTTTAAAAATATATTTTTAAAATTATACTATATTTTTTTCTCTTTGCATGCTTTTAAAAGGTGTTTCAACAATCTCAAACAGAAATACAGCAAGTACAGCACAAAGAACTTTTTTCTTTAATTATGTGAGAGTGAATGGCTGACCTGATGATTCCTCTTTCTGAATAGTGTGTATTTTCTAAAGTACATCCCACTAAATAACCACAATACAGCCACCAAAATAAAAATATTCACATGGATACATTACTATCATCTCATCCTCATCTCCAAATTTTGCCAACTGTCCCAATAATATCCCCCCTTATAGCAAAAGAATTCAGTTCAGAATCAAGCATTGCATGTAAAGTAGTCATGTAAAGCATTGCATGTAAAGCATGGCATGTAAAGTCTCCGTCCCTCTAGGACAGTTTCTCAGTCTGTTTTTAACTTCTATGACCTTGACTCTATTGAAGACCTCAGGCCAGCTATTTTTCAGAATGCCTCTCAATTAGTGTTTGTTTTCTATTACATCAGGGATAGATTCAGGCCATGCATCTCTGGCAGGAATATGCTGTATTCTTCTCACTGTATCTGTATTCGTGTTCATTCCTGCATATTAAATTACCCCAAAGCGTAGTAGTTGAAAACAATAAACTTTATTTTGCATAGTTTATGTACATTTTTAAAAAAAGTCTCTTAGCTGGGTGGTTCTCTAATGAGGGTGCAATCAAGATGCTGGCAAGGGTTACAATCATCCAAAGGCTTGACTAGGGCTGGAGGATTTGCTTGCAAGGTGACTCACAGGGCTGGCAAGTAAGTGGTGGCAACAGGCAGAAACAACAGCTAACTATGTGGCCTTCTCTCTAGGACTGCTTGAGGACCTAATATCAGAAGTCACGTACCATAATTTCTGTAATATCTTATTGGTTACCCAGGTCAACCCCACTCGGTGTGGACAAAGATTACCCAAGGGCATGAATACTAGGACATGAGGATCATACTCCATTTCTAATCAAACTTTCAGTTTCTTCATTTATTTATCACTTCCTAATGGACTCATGTTTTTTATCTTATTCAAAGGATTTAATGTTATTATCTTTATTTACATTTCTTACTTTGATACTCAAATTGTCTTCGTTGTAGTTCCTTTTAGCTAGCTTTTGTTCCTTTTCACATGTCCCACCATCCTTGGAGCACTTTCTTGCTTTTTGCCCCCTCTCCCATTTGACCTCAAAACCCTGCGCTAGGTCTTTCTTTCCTGCTTTCACCCCATTTTGCCTTTGCTGATACCCTATACTGGGCTGCCCACACACATGGAG